AAGCTTTTTCCAAAAAAGATTTATGAGTGGGACCCACACAAAAATCACTGTCCCTAAGTTTTTTTTTTTAATTGAAGCTGTTCAGATTTGACAAAAAAGTCCCCGCATTTGGATAAATTAGTTCAACAAAAAAAAAAAAGGTAAAAAACAAACGCAGAAAAAAAAAAAGGCAAAAAAAGGATGATTTAGATAAAAAAGGGGAGGAAGGGGGAGGCAAATTTTCATTCCCCCTTTTCCCCTACCCCTTGGAAAAAAAAAATAAAAAAAAAAAAAAAGGGGGGGAAAAAAAAAAAGAAAAAAAGGAAAAGAAAAAAAGAATGAAAAAAAAAAGAAAAGAAAAAAAAGGGAGGGAATAAAGGGGAGGGGAAAAAGGGGAGAAAAAGGAGAGGAAAAAAAAAAGGAGAGGAGAGAAAAGGAGGAGGAAAAAAGAAAAGAAAAGAAGGGGGGGAAAAAAGGAGGAGAGGAGAGAAAAAGAGGGGGAAGAAAAGGGGAGAAAAAAAAAGAGGGGAAAAAAGAGGAAAAAGAAAAGAAGGAAGGAAAAAAAGGAGGAGAAAGAAAAAAGGGAGAAAAAAAGAAAAAAAAAAAGGGAGAGGAGGAAAAGGAGGAGAAAAAAGGGGAAAAAAAAAGGAGAAAAAAAAGAAGAAAAAAAGGGGACCAAAACAAAAGGATACAAAAAGGCACGAAAAACAAACATGACCCCTTTTAAAAATTATAAAAAACTTTCCCTTTTAAAACCATTTTTCCCTTCTTCTCTTCTCCTCCTCTTTCTCTTTTCCCCCCCTTTTCTTCTCCCCCCTCTCTCTCTTTTAACAGAGGGGTTTCAGGGGCCCCGGGGACAGTTTTGTGGGGGAGCAGAAGGTTTTGTCGAATAATCAGTCATCCTGTACATGGTTTATTAGCATTGGAGAGAGTGAGAGAGAGAGAGAGAGAGAGGAGAGAGAGAGAGAGAGAGAGAGAGAGAGGAGGAGAGAGAGAGAGAGAGAGAGAGAGAGAGGAGGAGGAGAAGAGAGAGAGGAGGCGAGAGAGAGAGAGACAGATAGGGAGAGGCATATATAGTTTCCTAGATCTGCTGGGCAGATACTGGGTGATTCATCATCATAGTGAATGTGACCTGAAGAATAGAGGGAAGGAGGGAGGGAAGATGGAGGATGGAGGGAGCTGTATAGAGAGCAGGAAGAGGAGGAGCAGGAAGAGAAAGAATGGACTGCAGCCTAATTAGAAAGAGGAAAGAACTGCGTTGTGTATAGAAAAGAATGAGCTGTGGAGTGCATAGAAAGAGGAAGATGGAAAGAACACAGCGCTAGTATGGAGTCATTTTTAGAATGCCATACAATAGGAGTATTGTTCACTAAGGGCCAGAGAACTCTTTCTCTATCCGTCCTCTACCCTTCACCTTGACCTTTCACCTACTGTAACCTCAGCTGATTAGGATGCAAAATCACGGCCAGGATTAATCAGTGCTTTCCCACTGGGGTAATTCATATGACACACTGGGCAGCTGGGGTTATAAAACATGCTGTTAATGGAGGAATACATGAAAACCACAGTATTAAAATGTGACAGGCGTGACCAATTATCATAAAAAGCCCACTTCAAAGGATCCAGGCGGTGATTTATCCCCATATAATTCATGGGAATGTTGGGATTTAGGGATACTGGGACGGGAGACGGGGGACGGAGGAAAGGAGACGGGGGACGGGAGACGGGAGACGGTGGACGGGGGATAGATGAGTACCAATCCCACAAGAGGGACCAAACACACACATAATGTGAGCCCCAGAGAGAAGTGTGTATGACAGTGTGTGTGGTGTGTATGACAGTGTGTGTGGTGTGTATGACAGTGTGTGTGTGGTGTGTATGACAGTGTGTGTGGTGTGTATGACAGTGTGTGTGGTGTGTATGACAGTGTGTGTGGTGTGTATGACAGGGGTTTTTGCAGTGTGGTGGGTGTATGCAGGGGTGGGGTGATGACAGTGTGTGTGGTGTTAGACAGTGTGGTGGGTGTAGAAGGGGTTGTGGGGGTTTTTTAGACAGTGTATGTGGGTGTAGAAGGTTGTGTGGGGGTTTGTGTGTGGTGTGGACAGTGGGGTGGGTGTTGCAGTGTGTGGGTGTGTATGACAGGTTTTGTGGGTGTAGCAGGTGTGTGGTGTGTTGTGGTGGGGTGCGAGTGCGTTTGGTTAGGTGGTGGTGAAGTACCTAGAAAAGATGTGATAGTAGGGAGATGTGGTGGAGAGGAGGGTGGGGGGGGTGAGTGGGGGGGGGGGAGTGGGGGGGGTGAGGGGGAGGGGGGGAGTAAAGAGGGTGAGTTGGGGGGGGGGGGTTGGGGGGGGGAGTAGGGGGTGAGTGGAGGGGGGGTGGGGAAAAGGGGGGGTGGGGGGGTGGGGAAAGGGGGGGGGGGGTTTTTGGGAAAAGGGGGAGTTTGGGAAAGGGTGAGTGGAGGGGTGAGTGGAAAGGGGTGAGTGGAAAGGGGAGTGGAAAGGGGTGAGTGGAGAGGGGTGAGTGGAGAGGGGTGAGTGGGGAGGGGTGAGGGGGGAGGGGTGAGTGGGGAGGGGTGAGTGGGGAGGGGTGCAGTGGGGAGGGGTGAGTGAAGAGGGTGAGTGGGGAGGGGGGTGAGTGGGGAGGGGTGAGTGGGAGGGGTGGAGTGGGGGGAGGGGTGAGTGGGGAGGGGTGGAGTGGGAGGGGTGAGTGGAGAGGAGTGAGTGGTGGGGAGGGGTGAGTGGGGAGGGGTGAGTGGAGAGGAGTGAGTGAGTGGGGAGGGGTGAGTGAAGAGGGGTGAGTGGGGAGGGGTGAGTGGGGAGGGTGTGAGTGGGGAGGGGTGAGTGGGGAGGGGTGAGTGGAGAGGAGTGAGGGGGAGGGGAGGGGTGAGGAGCGGGTGAGTGGAAGACTCTGGGGTTGAAGAGTATAGCAGCTTAACTTGTGATAGCCAGAGGTGGGCTTTAAAAAGGATGGCCAAAGTACAACTTCACTTAAAACTCTATATATCAGGGCAGTCACTGTCTATATATCAGGGCAGTCACTGTGGCCTACTCTCTACTCTCTACTCTCTACTCTCTACTCCCTATTCTCTACTCTCTAGTCTCTACTCTCTACTCTCTAGTCTCTACTCCCTACTCCCTAATCCCTACTCTCTGCTCTCTACTCCCTAGTCTCTACTCCCTAGTCTCTACTCTCTACTCTACTCCCTATTCTCTACTCCCTACTCTCTACTCTCTACTCCCTAGTCTCTACTCTATACTCTCTAGTCTCTACACTCTACTCCCTAGTCTCTACTCCCTATTCTCTACTCTCTAGTCTCTACTCCCTATTCTCTACTCTCTACTCTCTAGTCTCTAGTCCCTAGTCTCTACTCCCTAGTCTCTACTCTCTAGTCTGTACTCCCTAGTCTCTACTCCCTATTATCTACTCTCTACTCTCTACTCTCTACTCTCTAGTCTCTACTCCCTATTCTCTACTCCCTAGTCTCTACTCCCTAGTCTCTACTCTCTACTCTCTAGTCTCTACTCCCTAGTCTCTACTCCCTAGTCTCTACTCTCTACTCTCTAGTCTCTACTCCCTAGTCTCTACTCCTAGTCTCTACTCCCTAGTCTCTACTCCCTAGTCTCTACTCTCTACTCTCTAGTCTCTACTCCCTAGTCTCTACTCCCTAGTCTCTACTCTCTACTCTCTAGTCTCTACACTCTACTCCCTACTCAGCTTGTGAAGAATGAAAAGGAGAAAGGGGCTAGTCTGTAATTGTGAGAGGCATATCAACCCACTGGGCACAGACGTCTAGTTTTGATTTACATTTGGTTGAGTTGTCAACTAACATTAATTCAACATGAAATCAACAAAAAAGTTCACCATGTCATTGGAGTTAGGTTAAAAGTTGGGTGAATTTATTTTATTTCACCTTTATTTAACCAGGTAAGCCAGTTGAGAACAAGTTCTCATTTACAACTGCGACCTGGCCAAGATAAAGCAAAGCAGTGCGATAAAAACAACAACACAGAGTTACATATGGGGTAAACAAAACAAAGTCAAAAATACAACAGAAAATATATATACAGTGTGTGCGAATGTAGTAAATTATGGAGGTAAGGCAATAAATAGGCCATAGTGCAAAATAGTTACAATTTCGTATTAACACTGGAATGACAGATGTGCGAAAGATGATGTGCAAATAGAGATACTGGGGTGCAAATTAGCAAAATACATAACAATATGGGGATGAGGTAGTTGGGTGGGCTAATTTCAGTTGGGCTGTGTACAGGTGCAGTGATCGGTAAGCTGCTCTGACAACTGATGCTTAAAGTTAGTGAGGGAGATAAGTGTCTCCAGCTTCAGAGATTCTTGCTGTTCGTTCCAGTCATTGGCAGCAGAGAACTGGAAGGAATGGCGGCCAAAGGAGTTGTTGGTTTTGGGGATGACCAGTGAGATATACCTGCTGGAGTGCAGACTACGGATTGGTGTTGCTATGGTGACCAGTGAGCTAAGATAAGACGGGGATTTGCCTAGCAGTGATTTATAGATGACCTGGAGCCAGTGGGTTTGGCGACGAATATGTAGTGAGGGCCAGCCAACAAGAGCGTACAGGTCACAATGGTGGGTAGTATATGGGGCTTTGGTGACAAAACAGATGGCACTGTGATTGACTACATCCAATTTGCTGAGTAGTGTTGGAGGCTATTTTGTAAATGACATCGCCGAAGT